CGTAGCTCACCTTCAGTTCTGCTACTTTGCTTTCCCTTGTGCTGAATTCTCGTAGCATGTAGTCCTTTCCAGCCTGGAATCAAAAGCAGAATCATCTCTCATTACTGGTTAGGGCTTTTACCAGTCAGTGTGGATTGACCAGTGTTAAGGAGTAAAGGCTGATGGACATAACACAAGATTTCTGGAGAGTTTATAACTTTCCACTGTGTTTTGACACCTTCGAAAGAAAGTATGTTCAAATGTAAGCACTTACAAGGTCTGACAGCAACTACTTCAATTACAACTGTGTTAACAATGGATAAAAATGGATAATGGTCAAATCTCCTCGTACAGCCATCCTCAAAACAAGTATCAGCTTTGAGCACTACTGTTTTTTGGCGTATAAGCAGTCAGCAAGTTTGCTGCATATTTGTCATGGAGATTCAAGAATCGTTTGACATTTACTGGGGCAAAAGGAGCCTGCACTGTGCAATGCAACCTGTGGCTGTTTAAAGGCTTGAATTCTAACTCAGCTTGCATTTCTAGAGCAAACGTTAATGTGCAGTTGTGAACAAAAGTTAACATACATGCAAGACCGTGTATATTATGGTAAATGGTCAGCAGGTATACAACACCTTTAAACCTTAGCTAGGTCCTACAAAGTGCTTTATAATGCGTTTCTCATTTACCCACTCACACCAAGGCTGACAGGGCTGCCGTGAAACTTAGGGTTCGGTGTCTTGCGCAAGGATACTTCAGCACATGGAGGGGCTGGGGATCAAACCGGCAACCTTATGATTAGTGGTCAACCCGCTCTACCACCTGAGGCATGGCAGCTCTTCGTTTCCAATGACTCCTATGAATTTAAATTTTCTATGATGGAATCAATAAACACTTGTCTTTGTCACACACACACATACACACACACAAAAAGAAAAACCAATCATGGATTTTGGTTCTTTCATAAGTTTATTATAGGTCTTCTGGAAATATGACAAAATCTGCTGGGTCAAAAATATACACGCAGCAGCTTGAATGATCAGTTTTGGTAAAGTAGAAAGTTTTGTGAATCAAATTTTCTTAGTGGCATGGCCTCTTAACCTCTTGTGAGTGATTGCGAATGACTATAGCTGCTGACTTCTACATAGCTCCCTTTTGATACTCTTATTAGACTCAGCCACGAACACTACAGTGGCAAATCATTGGCTTGAAAACATTAGGAATGTAACTTGGAGCCATGTTGAAGTAGATACAGATCCCAAAATCAAATGTGTAAACAATTGTTAGTGAGTAAAAAGTGCGTGGAACAGTCGTGTCACTGACCCAGCAGATTTTTTAAAAAATTCCAGAGGACCTATAATAAATGTATGAAAGAACCAAAACACATACCTATTTTTGTGACCAAAAAAATTTGTTTTTATGATTCCACAATAGAAAATTATAAAGTTATAGGATTCATTGGAAACTCAAAACTACCACGATTTTTCATAAAGGCCAGGAGAAAAAAAAAGGTTTACGTTGAATATCATCCCTTTGCCTGCTTATTAACTTGCACACAGGTAATAACTTTCCAAAAAAAAACCTGTATAAAATTTGACACAAAAATATACAAAAATAAAAGAATGATCTCACCTTCATACAAATAAAATAAAGTAAGCAAAGGCACNACACTGGTAGTGAAAAAGGTGGCATCGTTGTACACTTTCCTTGTATGCACCTGAATGGTTTCTCCCTGAATTAAACACAGAGATTTAACTTCATAACTGTGTGCTCTAGAAGTACCCAGGCTCATTTACAGAGATGACAGCATCTCTGACTAACATACACCATAAAATGTGGTTTGGCTACACAGCAACCAAGTCTAGAGTCAATAGACTTCAATAGTTCTTTTTACTGTCACAAGATTCAAAGAGAAGACCCAAACCAACAATGCTTAGTCTGTCTCTCAATACCCTAATGACTTACATGTATTTAACTCCCAGTTGGAAGCACACTTGTTGAAAACAAGTCTTTCATAACACCTCCCAAAATCTAATTTTTAAGTTTTCGAGTGTCTCAGTCATTTCCCACAGCTGGAAACTATAGTTTTGAGCAAATATCGCACATACAGCAAAATTGCTTTTTGTGAGACTTAGTCAAAAGAAAATACTGTGTGGTCATGTTGAAAAAGGATCATATCACCCTGTGTGACAGTGGCAACTTTTATTTTCTTTCCTTGTGGTTATATACACTCTGAGGGGAATACTGCTGGATGATTAAATCAGTGTATTTATGCATCATCCCCTTATTCTATTATACAAATTAATCTGATTGCTAGTCCCTATTGTTACAACAATCCATTACATTTTCTCTGAGCTCACTGCTGATGTTGTGAAGCAAACAGATCACAAGGTGATAATAAACATAAACATTTACAGTGCCGCAAAAAAGTATTTGATTTTTTTTATTTTTTTGAATATTTCCCCCATTTAAATGTTTAAAACAATCAAACTAATTTAAATATTAGACAAAGATAGTCAAAGCAAACACAAAATGCAGTTTTAAAATGATGATTTAATGTTTTAAGGTAAAAGCTATCCAAACCTACCTGGCCTTGTGTGAAACAGTAATTGCCCCCCTTGTTGAATCATGAATTAACTGTGGCTGATCACATTTTTTGGAAAGCTTGATTACCTCCAGACCTGTTCAAACAAGAAATCACTGAAACAGAACCTGTCTGACAAAATGAAGTCGGCCAAAAGATCTCAAGAAGCTTAAACAAAATGCCGCGATCCAAAGAAATTCAAGAACTTCAGGACCTGGACAACTCGCTGTGATTGATGGAACCATGAATTCTGCTCTCCACCAGAAAATCCTGAAGGAGAATGTTTGGCCATCAGTTCATGACCTCAAGCTGAAGTGCACTTGGGTTCTGCAGCAGGACAACGATCCAAAACACACCAGCAAGTCCACTTCTGAATGGCTTAAAAAAAAAACTAAATGAAGGTTCTGGAGTGGCCTAGTCAAAGTCTGGGCTTGAATCAGACTGAAATGCTGTGCATGACCTTAAAAAGGCTGTTCATGCTAGAAAACCCTTCAGTGCTGCTGAATTAAAACAATTCTGCACAGAAGAGTAGACCAGAAGATCTCCAGAGATGTGAAAGACTCATTGCCAGTTCTAGAAGATGCTTGATTTCAGTTGTTGCTGCTGAGGGTGGCCCAACCACTTATAAGGTTTAGGGGGCAATTACTGTTTCACACAGGGCCAGGTAGCTTTGAACATTCTTTTTTTTAAATAAATAAAATCATCATTTAAAAGCTGCATTTTGTTATTTTTGTCTGATATTTACATTTGTTTGATGATCTTAAACTTTTAAGTGGGCAAAATGTGCAAAACAAAAAAAGAATTTGAGAAGGGGGCAAATACTTTTCCACAGCACTGTAGCATTAAGGCTCGATTTGATTTGGGTTAAATGTTAGATTCATTTAAATAATTGTTGATAGAAATATTCTGCACTATGGTGTTTAAATGGTAGCATTGTGCACAGCTGGAAAAAAAAACATCCTTAACCAAAGAAAACAAGAATCCAACGCAATAAAAGCAAATTACATAGTAGTGATATTTACACTAAATTTATTTGGCCATATGGTCGGCATTTACATAGATTCTAGAGGTGTTTGAACCGCAAATGCAAAAAGGCTTTTTCACCTTCCATAGGTCACCGTAAAAAATACACTTAATATCCATCCATTCATCAACTATACACTGCTTTATCTTCTGTAAGGTCACAGGGGGGCTGGAGCCTATCCCAGCTGATTAGGGAGAAGATGGGGGACACCTGGACAGGTCACCAGCCTATCACAGGGATACACTTAACATATTTAAATGAATTCTTGAAAATATAGTGTTGTTTTGTCTTTTTACCAGACTGATCAGTCAAATAAGTTTCATAACACAAAATCAGGTCAAAGATGAACAAAGTCAGAATTAGAATAAAGTATTAAACAGAGGCTAAACTTTCTATTATATTACAGTGCTTCAAAATGAACTGCGAAAACACTGAACCTGTCAAAAGTCAGGCTGCAGAGTTCTAAGCACATCATCACAGTGGTCACATATAAAAACTATTCCTGTACAGAAATTTGAAGGGGTAGCAAATGTTTATGTTACTGTAAGATTAAGGATGGGGTGTAGGACTATTACTTCTGTTTATCATCATGCAACACATCAATGTGGACCTTATAGTATACTGGTCACTGAACGCCTTCATTAACAGCTGCCTGAGGTGGCATTATAGGAAGTTCCAGCTTCTCACACTCCGTCAGCTTCAGTGTCAGGTGCTGGGCGATGTCATTAGGATCAGTGTGAAGTGCAGCAGGAAC